GACGCAACCGGAGCCGCAGCCCCAGCGATCGCTTTCTTGGCTGAGGAAGCTTCTTGGCCTTTGGGCTTCCTCTTCTCCCGCTTGCGGTCACGCTCCACGAAGGTTCCCTTCATCTTGGCGATGATGTCCGAGTCTGTCTTCGAGTACTGAATCCTCTGCGGAGGGAAGGCAGAGGAAAACACGTCAGGGGGGCACTGCGGACCCAGGGGGCCGGCTCCCGGCAGCGCGGTGGGCAGGGCTCACCATGGGCTTGTCGTAGAAGGGGAAGCCCTGCATGGACCGCAGCGCGTTGGTGGCGCTACTGATCTCCTTGAAGATGACGAAGGCTTGACCCCGCATCTTCAGGCTCCGGGACACCAGGATGTCCAGGATTTGGCCGAACTGGGAGAAGATGGCGTAAAGGGACTTCTTCAGCTCTAGGAGACAAAGTTCGAGTCTGACACGTGTTGAGCAGCAAGGAGAATGAGCAGCTGTTGCTCATAAGAGCAGGCCTCCTCCTGGAGACAGATGGGCCGTTTCCCTCTGCAGCCAAACAACTTTGACCTTTCTCAGACAAACCAAAGAAAAAGCTGCCTCCACAAGCACCCCAGGGCCTAGATGAAGGTAGGATCCCCTCACCCCTCCCACGTTCCCCTTCTGCCTGCTCAGGCCGCCCCTCACCATCCTTCTTGATCTTCTCGTTGAGGTTGTTGATGTAGATTGTGTGGTTGGGGCGTGCGTCCTGGACAGCCATGCTGAACACGTGACACCTGGATCTGCGAGGAGAGACCAGGCTGGAGAGGGCTGCGACGGCACTGGGGGACGGCGGGTCCCAGTTGTGCCCCCACAGGCAGTGAGAACCCTAACCCGGGTGCAAATGATGGGGGGGGGAAACAAGAGGGTCACCCCCTTCGAGCCCTCCTGGCGTGGGGGCTAATAGGTCCCTGCAAGGGTCCAGGGTCTAGGCGTGTCCCACAAGGTGGGAGAAAGACCCCAGACCCAGAGGCTTGAGAGAAGAAACAGCCCCAGGAAAGGATTAAATTCCCCTGGAGGGGAGCAAAACCCCAGACCCCTCAAATCCAGGGGGTTGGAGAAGGAAAAAAACCCAGGAAAGCTTAAAATATCCCCAGGAGGGGAAAAGACCCCAGACCCCCCCCCCCAGATCAGGGGCTCAGGGAGGAGACACCCCCATGGGAGGGTTCAACCCCCTCGGGGGGGGGGAAGACCCCAGACCCCCCCCCAGATCAGGGGCTCAGGGGGGAGACACCCCCATG